ATATGAGCAGCCTCCCCTGGCAGTCCTGCTATAGGACGCTCCATCTATTGGTGGGGGGCTTCACCAGCTGGAAAGAGGGTCCAGCATCCCTTGAGCTGTCTCTTATACACATCTAGATGTGTATAAGAGACAGCTGGTAGCCTAGCTTTTTTTTTTTTTTTTTTTTTTGAAAGCCTAACTGTTGGGCGTTCGACGTCGTAAAAGGACATGAGAGCTTTGGGTCACTAAACCTCCAGTACCGGGAACCTTTCTCTGAAACTTCAGGTGGTATATGCGGTGGCTGATATGTGAACGTGTTTCGATGTACGTGCCTGCCTGCAGCCGGTTTGATACATATGTGATGATAAAATTTTATTCAGGAGAGAACCACCCATCAAGTACTGGTGGTGGAAGGATTTCACTGTTTCTGGCGCTCGTCCCAGTTCCAGTCCCAGTCACAATCCCAGAGTTTGGGTCCCATGTAGAATATTTCACACCATCTGGACAGTGTCGGACCATCTGGGTACAATATTTCAAACCATCCGGACAGCGTCTGGACCATCTGGACAGTATCTGGACCATCTGACTCGTATCTAAACCATCTGGATGATCTGCGTTCGAATCACGAGTTCAAATCCTGGTGATACTGTAGTGTTAGGGGGTCACTCCCTTTTTTTTTATCTGGACCATCTGAATGGTATCTGAACCATCTGGATGATCTGAGGCCGGATCACGAGTTCAAATCCTTGTGATACTGCAGTGTTAGGGGCTCGCTCCCTTTTTTTTTTTTTTTTTTTTTTTGAAAGTAAACAGGGCCTTATGGCTCCGGCTCCGTATCCATTCTGCGGAGCGTCAGTTCGGTTCCTTTTTGTTTTTTGTTTTTTTTTAAAACAGAACCTCTTGTCCTTCCTGCGCAAAGACCCCTCCATACAAAGACTGGCCAGCACAGAAGTGGGTACTGCCCACCAGGTGGACTTTCCCACAGCCATCATGTTTGCCGATGACCTGACGGTTCTGATCAGGGCTTCGGACTCCTCCTTCAGAACTTTAGCCAGAGCAATGGAGGCGTTCAGACTAGCTTCAGAAATGAGGATTAATTGG